GTGTCCCTGGTCTGCTGGGGACCGTCTCCAGCAGACCAGGGGCACCGCGAGCAAACCCGCCGGGGCTGCTGCCTTGCTCCCGATGCCCCTGGTCTGCTGGAGACTGTCTCCAGCAGACCAGGGGCACTGGGAGCAGCTTTTCTCGCCCCGGAGGTCGAGGTGGCGGATCACTGCCTGCGAGCTCCGGGGTGAGAAAGCCCCGTTCGTAAGTGCAGATCTGAGGTAAGTCGGATCCGCGTAAGTCGGGGACTGCCTGTACCTCATAAGCAGGCTGATAAGCCGCCTCCTCCAAGAGCAACTGGTAACCTCTTACATCCCTTTTTTTGGATGTATAGTGGAGATTGTTTCTTGTCTGTATCTGTATTCCACAATTACATATCCAAATTCTATTAATTATTTTGTATCTCAGATTATGGATCTTATGGATCTAAGATTATGGATCTAGGCTGCATACACCTTAGTTGGAGAAACTAGTTATTGAATAGCATCCTATTTTTTGTCCATCATAATCCAAATCTTAAAAATAATGTGGGTGAGGTAAGACAGATACAACACTCTTCAAAGACAAATATTTTTAAGTGTTTTTACCAGATACTTAGTTTAAACTGGTTATAAAAGAAAAAAGACTGAAAATAGCAACTGAAGCAATATTGAATAGTTGTGAACAATAGCCTTATTGTTTTAGGCATTTGTAAAGACCAATGGAGGAAGACAAATGGAACAGTGCTGCAAGAGTCATTCAGAGATGCTGGAAAAGATGTATTGTGAGTGTGAAGTACTACGTTATATTTAATAATTTATTTTAATCATTAAATCCTCCAGTAATAATTTTTGTATTTTTCTCCTCTTGAAACCAAACTCTGGATGGAGAATGGAAAGTAGGAACTCCTATGGTGTGAATCTTCTTTTCAGTACAGCTGTCCCCATATAGAGGAATGTAGCCCACAGGGCTGGTGCTGGCCTTAAGGTTTAACAGAGAATTAACTATCCACGAAAACCTTTGTATACAGTATATTACAAATTATATGTAATTCTATTTTGTTAAAAGCAGGCAGAGTTTCATCGTTGCCACAGGAGAAAAAAATTACATAACATTACTAACGGGTGGTGGGGGTGGTATGTTAATTTAGGTGGAATGTGTGGGCCTCCTTCAGCGGTATTTTGTTTTGTTTTTGCTCTGTGTTCCTGTGACGGTCTTGCCACTCCCCTTCCTATCTGGGAGACTATATCTATCCGAGTCGTCCCCGCCTTGGGGCGCCCGGTGCCCCGTCAGTGAGGTCCTCCAGTCGTTCGGCGGCGAGTGCTCCTCCTCCAGCACGTTCTCCCAAGCGGAGGACCGGGCCCGCCCTCACTCATGGGCCCCAGCCCAGGGCCCTAAGGACTCCGACTGACTACCAGTCGGGGTCCGGCTGACGGGGGTGTGCCCCTAAACGCATCAGCCCACGGACTTCCTCACCGCCCTGCCCTGGGCCACTTCCTTTTCTCCCCTCGGTGGTCCTTACCCCCAGCGGCGGTGCGTCTCAGCGGGGCGACAGAGCAGGGGGGTGTCACGGTCCTTTCAGGCGAGTAGCGTCTCTCCGTGCTCTCCCTCCTTTCCTTGTGTGGCTGGGCGGGTCAGCGGGGCGACAGATCGGGGAGTGTCAAGGTCCCTCCTGGAGAGTCCCGTCTCTCCGTCCTGCCGCCCCTTGCTTGCGTTGCCCGGCGGTATTTGACGCTCCCGCCGGGCCGGCCCACCAGCGCTTGTCCCGCCCCCGATCTGGTCGGCGCCATTGATTGGCCTTTCGGCCCGTCAGGGCTGGCCCCAGCACCTCTCCGGCGGCGTCTGGGCGCTCGCCCAGCTGAGCCGCGTTTTCGCTCAGCTGAGCCGCGGAGCTGCCCCGCCAAGCCACGCCTCCGCTCAGCTGAGCCGCGGCGTCCCTGCTCAGCTGAGCTGCGGCGTTTCTGTTGAGCCGCAGCTTGGGAGCAGCCGGCGCACAGCCGGTATCTGCTCCGCGGCTTCTCGGCGCAGAGCCCCTGTCTTTCAGTGCGGGGCTTTGCTGCCCCATCACAGTTCCACACAGTCTACAGTATGATACAGTATGATACTGTAAGTAAAACTAATTACAACAGCTTTAGTAACAGAGGGACAGGTGTTTCAGGAGAGTGGGTGACTACTATATTACTTGGAAAAGTTGCCATTTATAGAATTACAAGTTGTTAATGATGGGATGATAGTTAAGAGAAGGAAAGGAGGAAGCTGGACTGCGATCTTGCGCCAGAGCTATGCAAATGAGGCTAAGCATGGAATGTTGCAGAGCCTCATTTGCATATATAATGAGCCGCCATTTTGTGGAAGAGGCTCATGCGCAAGAAGGAGCTGTTTACACTGTCCCTTGCGCAAGAAAGACCCTCTTGCGCAATGCCGCTACGCTGATTATTTTCAGGAATAACGGCATTGCGCAAGAGGGTTTTTCTTGCTCAAGAAGGGGCCGTGTAAGTAGTTCCTTCTTGCACAAGAACCTCTTCCGCAAAATGGCGGCTCATTATATATGCAAATGAGGCTCTGCAACATTCCATGCTTAGCCTCATTTGCATAGCTCTGGCGCAAGATCGCACCAGTGTATACATAGCCAAAGTGTAAAATGCACATAGATACCATGGTGATAACCAAGCTCACAGATAAAGAAATGGACAGACTTCTAAAAAGTAGTTGTCCAAAGCTGAGGAAGAAAAGATGGTATAATGGGGAGAGAACTTTTCAAAGATAACTTTGGTAAATTAGAGGATATAGATGCTCTACTTTGAAATTCCCTTTACATCGTGGTGTCCAACCAGTTCTGAAGCAGTAGCCACTATAGCGAACTAGTCACACTCAAATGCTCAAATAGCTACATGTGGCAATTGGCTAGCATGTTGGACACCATGACATATGGCAGCATTTTGTATCCATATGCATTTTTTTTCCTCTGGAAGCCCTCTCACTTTTAGCTCACTCGCAGTTAATACCAAAATAAACAATTTAAATTTAGTTTTCAAATATGCACATAGACTCAGTTTTTGTTACCCACATTTGACTGAATTCAGAAGTGCTACTAACTTCAGTCTTCGAGACTGGAAGAAGTACACCGAGCAAAAGTTTAATTCTGTGAGACCATTTAATGGATTGTGCCCTCAGACTGTCCTGAATTCTGTGTGGTTTGTCATGGGAAAACTGAATGGTGTCATGACTAATTCAAAATCTGGAAAAAACCCGGGGATGATAGTTTTTCTTAGTATATTTATACTTCTCTATAGGACATCCGTGTCTTTCGATACTATAAGGAACTAATAGGCTTTAGAGGAGTTGGGGACCCTCATCTTCTGATGAAGTGCATTGACCCTAGAGAGGTAAGAGCTGGATTTACTGATGTATTTTCACTATTGTATCTGTGTATAAATTAAACACATACGGTATAGGATAGTTGAAGATGTTAGTGTTTTAATTTTTAGTTTGCCTCATTGTCTTTTATTTGTGGCAAAGTACTGGAAGACAAGGGTCATTACAGCATTATAAATCAAATACAATCTTTGACTGCCTCCACCATTTTGAAGTCTAAGATATACAGATTTAGAATACTTTGTGTATTGAACACAACTGAATCTATATATAATAAAGGAAATATATAGTAGTTACAAAAGTAAATATCAGTAAATAACTAATATAAAAGCTTATGCAAGATTGAGAGGGAAGAAAAACAGAAAGGAAAAGACTGAGTCCACAGAAATCTGTTTTCTCGTAACTGAGTATACCAACTCATTTCATATCGGGAGGCCATTTAATAGCTAACAGGTGGTAAAAAGCACTCGGGATCCAATCAAACTCATATTGTCTCAGAACAAGCCCTATTATTTTTAGAGCATGTTGTAAAAATCATCTTTTTGCAACAGCCTTCATGCACAATAAATTGCCCCAAGGAATTAGTCACATAGGAAATGCTGACTGGATAAAACTAGTGGATCATCTAGGCCGGTATCTAACAACTGAATGGCTGTATGAAAAACTTGCAATAGGCAGTTGTAGGAAAACCCACATTCAGGAAAGTTTCTTCATATCCCGCACTAGCTAGAGGCTGACTTATGGCCAGATGTATGAAAGTTTTTTATCTCTTCCAGAACTATTGTTTACATTTAAAAAGGTACTTACTGTTACCACACCGAATATTCAGATCCATATAAATGCCTTATCCCTCCTTGGAAGAAATACAGGTTGGACCTCTCTTGTGGCATCCTCAAGACCTGATCAGTCCCGGATGAGGGAATTTCCTGGACAATGGGAGGTCCCGTGACACCAGCCCCTCCGGCCTTCTCCGTACTGCTGGCTCCTTCAGTCCCGCTGGGCTGTCTGTGAACCAGCCACAGCCCCAGCTCTATTCCAGCTGGCTGGGAAGTTCCAGCCCCACTGCAGAATGGCACATAGCCCAATTGGGCTGTTGCAGTCCCATCCCCACTGCCGGGTGGCACATGGCCCTGGCTCGGCTGATTCTGCCAGGTTGCTGCGGTGGCAGCCCAGGCCCCGCTGACAGGAGGCAAGCAGCACCAATCGTGGTGCTACCCCTGCCACCGCTGCTTGGGTTGCTGTGGCCCTGCTGCCTCCCAGGTTGATGCAGCCTGGACAGGCTTCCTCTCCTGGGCTGCTGTGGTCCCGGCCCCACTGCTGGGCAGCAGACAACCCCAATTGAGCTCTGCCCAGGCTACTGTGGCCCCACTGCTAGTACGGCTGCACCAGGCTCCCAGCTTCTGTCCCTCCTGCCCTGGGGCTCTCTCATTCAGGAACATCCATAGTCATGCCAAACCACAGATGTTGCTGGATGAGAAAATCCCTCATTTGGGAGGTGCAACGTGTACTACAACCAGAACAAGAGTGAAAGAGAAAATCTCTTCTCTGACCCAAAAAACAAATATAATAAAGAAACAGGGAAGAGAGTCAATGAGGGTATGTCTACACTACAAAGTTAGTTCGAACTAACGGACGTTAGTTCGACCTAACTTTAATAGGCGCTACACTAGCGCTCCGCTAGTTTGAATTTGAATCGAACTAGCGGAGCGCTTAGTTCGAACTAGGTAAACCTCATTTTACGAGGATTAAGCCTAGTTCGAACTAGCTAGTTCGAATTAAGGGGTGTGTAGCCCCTTAATTCGAACTAGTGGGAGGCTAGCCCTCCCCAGGTTTCCCTGGTGGCCACTATGGCATGAAAATCAAGGGGGTCCACTGAGACCCCCGACCCTGAGCCCTGAGCTTACAATGGCCGTC